AATTATTATGTCACTTTTCATAACCACACTTCAGAGCTATTTATCAATTCCGGTATCATTCTGACATGGAAGTTCCTTTTTTTTTGCCCTTGGCGCTATTTGCATTTTGAGAATTTTTAACTAAATTTATAGAAGCTTGATGGTAATTAACTGGGGAAGGTATGGAATCCATACAACTAAACTACTTAATTTTATGTGGCCTGTAAAAAAACTTCCTCCAACTCTAGTGTATATCAGTAAGAAACAATACCAGTATATTATACAAGGTGAATATTATACATATCTAAGTTCTATCAAAATATGAAATAAAGTATATATTGGGTATTTAAACATGGCTTTCTTCCCTGATGACCAGCAGTACCAGTAAAATACCTTCATCTCTCTAGAATATTCTCTATCTTAGACTTATTAAAAGATCATTTGGCAAGCCTAACTAAGGCTAAAGGTGCCTACTAGAGTAATTTGAAACATTTTGAACTCAATATGGGATTCCTATTTCTAAGAGCTTTGTTAAAAGTTTGAGCCTAATTGTTTTGTTTTGCACTGAAATAAGCTGAGTTGGGTACTCCCGGAAGTATTCACTATGGAAAACTCAAGCATGAAAGTTCAGGGCTAAACTTCAGGGTTTTATGCCGTGAGGACAGCTGTGTTCATAAAGAGAAAGCAACAAGAGCACATAAGTCATCCATAAACGATCGGGGGTTGCTGCCAACTTCATGAGAACAAATAAGAGCAAACTTGCTGACGGACGGTGGCCCACAGGGGATGGCTGGCTGCACTTTCCCAGATGCCATTAGTTCCTCCTCACAGTGGCAGATGTCAGGTGCCAGCTTTCTAATCAAAGAGTCACTTGTCCCAAGCCTCCCTAACCTGCCAGAGCAATTCATCAATATCTGATAACCGGAAAAGCCTGGGTGTGCAGTGGTCAAAGTTGGCTCCTGTTTATAGCAGAAAGCAATGAGAAAGACATTCCACAAGATTTTGATGAACAGGATGCTACACTCCTAAGAGGCTTGTGCACAGAAGTGGACATTAATGCAGAAATCGTAAATATTCATTCATTTGCTTGACAATGATGTCATCCAATTCAACAACTAAGCCAAGCGCCATTCATTAGAAATAATGATACCTTGTATTTCAGGTTTTAAAATTTAAAGCTATAGATTATTTTAGTGTTTTTTTATTTTATTTTTTAAGATAAAAAGGATGTTGTGATTATTATTGGGAATGTTCCAAATTCTTGCTAGTGGTAGACAGTGTGTGTCAGGAAAGCATTAAAATTGTGTTTAATGCAAAGCCCCAGGGCCTGGCAATTCTTGCATTATTCCTGGTAACAACTCACAGATATCGTAGGTTACCTGACCAGACTGAGAGAACAACTCCAATACTCTGTGTCCAACCAAATAGAAGTCCCAAGACTGATCAAACAGATGCAACGAGCTCATCGATCATGACCAAATAACAATAAAACACTCTTCTCTATGTGTCATAGCATCAGTATTTTATAGCTGTAACATTTTAATTGTTAAAAGTAAGGAATCTAGAGGAAAACTCAAGTGAAAGGGCATTATAAAAATAGTTGTTTTTTTTTTTTTAATTACAGGCTTACTTTCTAAAATAGACTTATTGGTTATTAATATCTGTGTTACCTTCAAAGGTAAAGAGATGCATCAGATGCATGCCATAACAAGTCAAACATTAATGGCTTCATTAGAATAGCAGCTAAGCAAGTTTTCTTGCCCCTATTTTAGAAAACAAGAAGTAAATACCAATTTTTCTTCACTTTTGTATTTTCATTTGAATGAGAGATCAAGGAGATCGGCAGTTTTATATCTCAACTGAATATGAAATGATGGTATTCAAAAAGTAATTTCAAGCCTCTGGCAACCTAAGAGATTAACTGTAATCATTCTCAAAAGTTCTTTAAAGTCTGTGTTATTAAAAGGAAGCAGCTATGGTATAGAAAAGGGTTGGACCAAGGCCATGATGCTCATGTTCAAGACCCTGGTAATTAACTAGGTCCATGGTCTTCAGCCTTCTCATCTTTGGAAAGGAGGAAGCTGTGAACCATGGGCAGTGGGAAGAGGTGGAACTGGAGCCACTTAGAGATGTTTCATTCGTGTCACTCCCACTTCCACTAACTTTTCACCAGTAAGCTACATTCCTTTGAGTTTGGGACATAATTGATTTTGAGATGCGACTTAGTCTTCATTGCCACCAGAAAAGAAAAATTTCTGCCAAATGAATCATGGCACCATATCAAATGCATCCTAACTTCAGAGGCTTTAAAAAAAAGAAGAAAATCAATATCTTAGAATTGATAAGATAGAGATAACATAGGTAACTAAGAGCCTCCTTTGTTCTGGGCCATCTCCATTCTATAAATACAGTGCTGAGTAAAGTCTAGACTCAAAGGGTCAGAGTTTAAGGACTGGGCTCAGGGGATACTACAAGATGGAAAGCCTGAAACTCTTATTACATGTTCAGTGACTTTTTTTTTCACTAGATGACTTTAACCCTAAAGTCATACTTAAAAATTAAAAGTGGGCCGGCATGGTGGCGCACGCCTTTAATCCCAGCACTCAGGAGGCAGAGGCAGGCAGATCTCTATGAGTTCAAGGCCAGCCTGGTCTACATAGTGAGTTCCAGGACAACTGGG